TACAGTTGATAGTCATTTCAAGAACCTCGTTTTACATTAGTTGACACCTATCCATAAGAGATATCTGTCAAATTGAAGGGATTGATTCTCTAAATGAGATTAAAATCTGTATCACCCTATGTCATATTTGGAAATGTTATAGCTGAGCAGTTTAAATCATAAACAACATCTCATAGAACTGAGATATTCACACATGATTGATCACTGAATACTTATAATGTCATGTTTGTCTAGTTTATAATGTTGATTAACTTTTATCGGTTAGAACACAATCCCTCCAAGTTATAGGGATCTTTTTTTAAATGTTAAATTCAACTGACAGTAAATGTAGTCGAAAAAATAATAAATCAATAAATAATGTTTTGATTACTATGCCGACGAATGTTCATGTTTTGACAGAGCTTCATCCACTTATAATTTAGCTGTAGTCTTGCACATAATTAGTAAAAAGCCCTAAACCTACGTTTTGCCGCTAGATGCTACTTATTAAAACTATAAATTTAAAACCATAAAGGAGTTCGTGTTTCTCATAAGATTCAAACCACCGTGAAAGTTGAAATGTTTCTACTGAGCTATTCGAGCTTCTATTAATCAAGTTGTAGATCGACAACATTCAAAGTGACTTGACTACGCAGTACATTATTTCTGATGTTAGATAGTTAGTAATAATCGACAAGAAGTTCATCAATCTCAAACTAGGTTAGATGCCCTCTGAATGGCTCAATGTCAATGTAACACATGATGACATATATTAGAATTCTAATGGGAGAAGTAATTCTTTCAATAATGAATTTAAATCTTATTAAACTGTACCATCGGAGAATGACCTGGGATCTATCAAACTAAACTGACCACCTAACCAAATAATATTTTTTTATTGGCAATATGTTCAATGTTGTTTAATACTGAAGAAATGAATATAATCTTGTGCAACTATATATCCAATAACCAGTACATTTTTTAGACTGTTTCTATTATTATGTAATTTAAAAGTAAACTCCAACCTCAATGAAACCAGTACATTATTTATTTGACTGACTGATTTGACCTATTGTGTGACCTATTATAACCCCATATACTACAACTTCTAGACCTACAGTTTATTATAAACAATTCGTACCATTATATTTATCTTAGGGTGTTTATTTGTTTATGTAACATTTCGTTATTTTATTTGTCAATTTGATATTTTGTTAGTTCAAGTCACAACTACTCAGCATCTTATCTTTCTTAAAAAAAAGAAGGAAACGGTAGCTTATAACCGAAATTTATGAAAACAACGTTAATTTAGTCAATACAATTCACTCAATACTGAATGTTAGATAACACCACAGTGTTTACTCTTCGATAATCAATTATTGTTACTGATACATTGATTTATTGAAAATAGAATTTTCGTTAATGTACTTACATCTAGTCAGCTCCATGTATTATATGATTCGAAGGAATTCAAAGTAAATATCACTTAGACCTTTTATGCTTTTAAACTGTACTCAAGAGAGCCACAATAGTAAATAAGTAACATACATAATGAGGGTTTCATTGATTTTTAATTTTATAATATTGATCAGAGTGGCTTCCAGAAAACTAGCATTAACAATAAAATACGTTTGTAGGCTGGTTACGAATCGGTTGACAGAATTCAGTCAGTACTAATGCGAGTAAATTAATCCTACATAAGGTCGGTAGCAGTACATGTAGTTCAGTGCTGACATCCCAAGGAGTAACTCTGAAGGGCGAGCGCTCGAATCCTACAGAGAACACCAGTCTCCTGAATATTCCAGATCCACCTTGCTAACATGTGGTAGTTAACCCGAAAGGTAAGGTTGAAGTTCTCTCTACAGATTTTATTCAACCACTTGGCACCAGTGAATTTGGTTCTTGATGCTTTGTATGAAAAATCAAGAGAGGGGGTTATCTAAACCAACTCTGCAATAGGCGTGAAAAAAATATTTAAAAAAGTGATAAATTAATGATCTTAAATGAAACTTAGTTCTGAAAAACCTTCTGTTGTGAACTTCTATGAAAATCACACCGGAATCCAGTGTTCTGACTGATATCATAGCAAAAAGTACACACAGTACACATGGAAAAGTGGTTTGTATAATCGATACTCTAAGGAATAATAGAATAAGACTAAATCATCCATTCATTGTGTTTGAATAAACTTAAGTTAAATAAAAGCCATTTTCAGATCAACGTGATCCGTTAAAATGTTGATGTCTACAATACGTTTTTAACAGTTGTCATGTTTATCAAGTCCTTCTCGGTCACTAATGTTTTTTATTTTGATACCAATTCTTATTACATAACGACGTTAGCTGGTGAACTATTGGATAACGAAGAAACACAAACGGTATTTGTTCTAATCTTTCTTTGGGAATCATCAGAAGCACCATGTTCACAATGAATATGAATCTACTACGTCTTCAGTTATCATTACGAATATTAATATATTGAAACAACTGTTTTAGAATTCAGCTACCCATCTTCACTTCATTCCACTTAACATCAGATCTGTCACTATTTTTATTCAACTTGGGTTCCATGAGTTGTTTATTGTTGACTGATTTCTGTTCGACTACAAATATCAGTTCATGTTTGGTTAAATCTAGTTGGTTCACTCGCCACCTCCAGTGCGCGTCATTTCGTTTTCCTTGGCTTTCCGATCGACGATTGCATGAAATATATGCATTCAAAAATCCATCCCCGTATATGACTTATTTAATTCCGTTATTCACCAACGCAATTTAAGTCGATGATTATATACGAGAGTAGCCAGTATGTATATTTCGACAGCAATCATTTGATAACTATCACTCGTCCGGTCTAAGTGGTGTCAAATATAGGGCAACTAAAACATTTACTATATTCATACCTTTCAACCAGTATAACGTGTTGAGCTACTCTGGATATGTTCATAACAGACAACTGAAGGCAATTTCAGTCACCTAAATTGAATATCTTTAATGAGAATTGCACTGATATGTAGTGCTTGGTCATCAAATGAACGGAAAAGTGACCGAAAGCGCTGGATACCACACGCGGCGAGTGAACATTGACAACTTTATGGATAAACACATCCCCAGATGTACGTCTGAATCCATTTATAATGAGTACTGGTTACACGGCCAATAATACTGCTTTATTAGTAAGAAATCAATGGTCATATTAGTTATGAAATAACCCGATTCGACTATTAGATATACAACCCTCCCTTATGTATTCATTTAAATTACAATTATATTGCTGAAATATTAGTAATATCATTCATACACTTTTGTATCACCATTAATTTACCTAATATATGGTTAAATGAATTAGAACTCAATGCATTTTACTAACTCGTATCACTTTATACATTGCATAATCTCTGATCAAATAATTGGTTTGATCTGTTTAAACACGTTAAATCTTGCAACTTAGTTTGATTCGCGACTACAGTGATTGCTAATGACGAACAATCGAGATTATTTGAATAAGAATGGGTTCTGTTCCCCACTCCATAATACGGCGACGGGCACATACAATTCTTTAACAATTATCCCCAAAGACAGAACCCCATGCAGAAGACAAGAGTGTAAAGAAACACTGATATTCAAAGAAGACAAACGTGAAGAAGAGGAATTCAGTATCCATAGAAATGAGACATGATCTGTGGACACGAAGGAAAATTGGCAAACTAGAAATGGTAATAACCAACATAACCGAAACTTCGGAATAACAAATAAGACACAGTACACGTTACCAAACGCAGGTAATAAACACACTTGTTTGCACATTGAAGTGACGTCATTTTTGTCTTGAGAGATATTAATTTACAATTCACTAGGATATGATTGTTTGATTTAATACTGCACATTAGTTAACGCGGTATTTAGAAACTTACTCTGTTAACGATTCTAAATTCCATATGCTATAATTTTGGGAAGATAAGTTTGCTTAGTTATTCCTCTGGACTGTTTGTTAAAACTTATGACTGTAGGAGTGGATGTGTCTGTCTGCTGTGCATGAACCTAGTATCCCATAACGTAAAAATTAACATATTATCGAATTGTCTTGGGTCCTGATGCGTTTGAGCACATCACAAAACAGCGAATACGAATGACTGATTTACAATAGTAAATGCGAGAACGTACGGAAAGCGTATTGATTTTATGATTTTAGTAGACTGTTCAATGTTTCATATATAGTTCTGACTGATATAGTTCATGATTAGGCATAGAAGTTAAGATGTACACAAGACCAAAACAACTCATAACACTGAAAAACATTACATTGAAACATCATTTTATTACGTATTTCTATGGATTCTCACAATTATTTTATTCCGTACTTTATTTTATTTCAATACGTATAAAAAAAATTTAAAGAAATACTGTACAATCAGGGGTATGATGCCAATTATTAACCACTCTTCCTCCTTAAACAAAAAGAGACCGATAATCACAAACAATTAGCCATTTCAAGTATCGCATAGCCAAGAAGAGTAATCATATGCAATTTTATGTTGGAACACATCGACCAAATCATCAGAAGCACAATGCAAGGTAGGCAGCAAACTTCGTATACCTTTCGATTGTAAATTGACTGACTGATAGACATGACGGTTTGGATCGAAAAATTCCAACAAATCTGGTTCAGGTTCATCCTAAAAAGTAGTAATGATAATTATATCATTATTATTACCATGATAAGAGTGAAGATAATAATAATAAACAGCCAAAAACATCTTTCTTCATTTTGATGAAACTTTGGAGTAGTAAAATGAGAAGTGTGCGAACCCTGGAGACACTACTTTAAAAAATGTATATAATAATATAGAGGAGATCATATTTAAAGATAACATTTACAATACAATGATGGCTTATAAATTGTTTCGTTCCGGTTTAGGACATTGCAGCAGTGTAATATATTCAAGACCTCAGGATTATCCTCCGATCTTGTGTCAAATACAACGTACTCAAACTACCTCGTTGGAACCCAAAATAAACGACATACACAAATTCAGTTATATTTATAATTTAAGATTATTAATTGTTCAAGATTGATGACATTCAAAACGCAAAGGAAGTAGGTGTATAAAATTAATGTAGGAACATGATAAACCAATCAGATTTGAGACAACAATTATTGGATTTTTGCCCGAAATCCCAAACTCAATGTATGTATACAAACCTGAGTAAAACCCATTAATGCTGAATTGCTAAGGCACTTAGAATTCACAAATATGGGACAACTAATCACTATGATCTAAAATTATGAATTTTCCGCGGTAAATTAAAGGTTATTTGTACTTACAATCAAAGAATTAGCTGCATAAGTATTTATCCATGTGGTTACACATGATTCTATTGTTTTCTATCATTACTCATAGGCCCTAATCTAAGCCCCAACCTTAAGCTGTAGTCTTAACTCTTAACCTCAAATTCTAATTCCAACCCTTTCTAGGATTTTATTTAATAAATTATTCGCTTATAACACCTCCGTTCTGACTGGCTAGAAATCGGCGTGCTCTTTTAAGGTTATTTCAAGGACGTGAGGGTCACCAGTAAGGTATTCTTTCTCCTGGCAAAAAATATTTCATTAGTTTTAGAAATTGTTTCATATACAGCCATCACCAGGATGTGTTTAAAATGGAGAAATACGAAATGATGAACTAATGATTATATTATACAACGTTCAAGCATTAGGTAGCTGGTTCGAAAGTCACTTCATCTGATGAAGTTTTGGCAACTGTGTGGTCAGACTAACCACCAAGTACAAAAACCCACACTAAATTCTCCCAAAACTAAATAGAACTGCTATGATTCAAGAGGATGGCCTAGTAAAAATCTAGTTTATAACTTGAAATATTTGAAGTTGATATAATTCTCTCTTACGGTTATAACCCAGCTATTCCTATTGATTAGTATTCTCGGACACCGATTCGCTCGACAAGTCCCCAAATCAGAACACGGTTGAACAGGAGAAGAGATTATATTCCAAATAACAAGGTTAGATGGAAGTAAGTAAGCACAATAGGGAAAACGTTAGTATATTTATAGTTTTTCACATGAGATTTCTAGTGTTCACTAAGTATTGACTAACGCTGATTGGATAAGAATTAGTCAATCAACGTGCACCAAAGCAATCGTGCATTGAGCATGCTTTAATCCAGTCTGTGTCCCGCTAACAGAAGTTAAACACAATTCTCTGAGTTTTACCGTAATCCTGTAGAGCAAAATTGAGAAGAATCAAAATGACCGGAAGCTTAAGTAAGTTACATACATAAATATTCCATTTGAAAAAGTGATAATTTTTTCAAATAACCTGGGTGTCATGTTTTTTTATTTACCAGGGAGATGGTAATAACTAATATATTTCCGAAAATCTAGTGTTATACATACAAGGATGCCTGACTGACTGGCTAACATAGCATTAATTAGTAGAGAAGCGTTACAAAATCGGTTACAGTACCTACATTTACCTACTTATAGTTGACAAACATACAGGCAGAAAAGGGTGATTTGACAATGATAAAAATATTGACATTTGAGTCATTGGATGTAGGGAGGGGAGTTTAGTTAAGAAATAGAAAATATAAGCACTTAGTTATTTCATTGGGTAGTTAAGTTAGTCATAATCAGTGCAATATTTGCAACAACTATAACATTGCTCCGAAATGTCACAATACAGCAGGCCACAAAAAACGAAAGGAGAAACCATAATTTATGGACGACCTTTGAGCGATGCTAAAGTGACCTTGGGAATGTCCACCTACTTGATAGGGTTAAATGAGTGTTATAAACCAGTGTAAAGAATCAGGATTATGGTTTACAGTTGATGATGAGTGTTAGGAATCCGATTTAGGGTTTTCATCACGAAATGAAAAATAAAATGTCAAAACGTTATTTAGCCAAGTGGATGAATGAATTTCGTGCCAAAATCCAAAACCTGTTATCCTTAACCTGATTGGGTCGTCCATAAATTATAGTCTAACTGAATATGATTTCAAAAAACAGAAGACGATTTTAAGGATAAAAAATAATGAAAAAACATTAAAAACAAGAATCTGTAGGAAGCTAAAGAATGAATGTATCTATCTCCATAAAATAAATTGTTAGTATAGTGGCTGAAAATCTTTTTCAACTATCGATTAGGATTATCGCACAGACATCAACTAGGTGGTCTGTACCTCTCCAAATAGTTTTATCGGATCTAATATGCTTACAGATGGATTTTCTAAACACACTCCTAAACTACCGTACGCAGAGGCTTGATATAGTTATAGTCAAAACGGGCAAACTATGAACAGCCGACAAATTATACCTGTTTCAAAAACACGAATTAGTACAACTAATACGAAAATGTGAAATGGAACAGTTTATTAGCGACCAGTAGTATGAACACGAAATAAAACAATGGAAAAATTAGTCATGTTTATGAAAAAGGTACAATTTTGTGATTGTTAGTCTAATAAAGAATGGTTAGTCCGAGATCACATTGAGTCTAAGTGGCGGGTTTTTAATTGGGATATTATTTGTTGATTCGTTCCTATGGATCGCAGTTGACATTTCTTTCCAAAACATCCACTACTTCCGCAGTTGGTAATCATCGTTGTTTAACTATCTCATTCTATGACCAAACAAAAATTTCGTACATTCTGGATAATTCTTTCGGTTGTAATCTTCATCTATAAAATCTTTATTTGTCCGTTGATTTCGTAGTTTGTCTGTTTAATAATAGGTCTTGGTGACTGATTTTTCGTTGCAATAACATCACTGATAAGGACTAAAACATTTGGTTAAGTCTCTGCTGTTGTGTCCCGATAAGAATAATGAATGGTAATTTTTGGGATCCAATTATGGACCAATATTATGAGTATATTTTTATCGTATAATTGTTATGCAACTAAACTGTTCATATTCATACCCCTCTTATTATGAGCTTTATGTTGACCTATGAACTACTATTGTACGATTTACCACTCATGAATTATTCCCTATCTGTTAATCGCTACCCCCCTCATTCACAGCCACTTCTGGCTAATTATTGTACAAATGTTATTTTCTATTTTATTGGTACCTTGTGGTCGGGTTGATTGGTATATAAACAGAGTATGCTTGAAATACAATGATTCATATCTCAGGGGCTTAGACTTGCGTTCTGGACTCAACTGGCTGGGCTAGACAGCGAAGCAGGGCCGATCGGGACTCTAGGTCGTTCGTACGTGTTTTACGTGTCATTGATCCGATCGATAAATACACTGCTTTCTAATCTTTCAGTCAAGGACAACAATTGGCACGGGGTAAAAATCGATCCAAGTTCAAGTCACAACATCTGCAAATTTAGCCATTTAAATTTTACTTGGAGAACAGCTAAATACTCATGTTTTCTCTTTTACTTATTGAACAAAACTCGCTAATCATGCTTGATTGTAAGAGATACAACCAAAGGATTTTAAAGGTTCGTAAGTAATAGGATAGTGGTAACTACATATGAGGTATCTATTCTGAACCAATAAATACGTTAGGAGTAAACTGAATCCTGAAGATTTCGCGTCAAGTGGACTATCGCTAAATGATCAAAATAAGGTAAGTGCATGACTACAAGAACCGACATTTCTGAATCAAAAAAGGATAAGAGATCTCTGATAATCCGTATTTCTTTGCAAAGACTACTTAGCAAGTGCATGATTCTGACATGTGCTTTATGTACGTGGAAGTGGACACAATCAAGTTTGTAAACAATGTGCCTGGTAGGAAATATAATCGAGTGCTTACTATCAAAATGTAGGGACGGAAATTGTAACCGTCCGCCTACATAAATGATATCGTCTAACTTAAAATAAATTCCCGACCGTAGCTGCTACCCTGATGCGGTGGTCGGGCTTGCCTGTCGTGATGACCCAACCGAGCTATATTGGCTGGAACACATGATTCTGTGGGTTCTGTCATGCCAGGCAGGTTGATTGGAGGACGGTGAGACTAAAAGCAGCAACTCAAGGTCTGAGGGCGAAGTCGTACTGCTGACTGTAGAGGGCTGTGACAGCAGTAAGGTGTTACCTTCGGACAACCAGTATCTGCAGTGATGCTGCCTTCTCACAAGGAAGGAAGGGGTTAGAAAAGGTTGACCCTAAAAATGTCACACCTCACCTTACCTCATGGATTTCCGTCTCCGGCGGTAAGGCCCTTTGAAGCTAACACATTAAAAGCCTCCCACGAAAAGGCCGTGCGCAACCGGCCTCAAGCAGTTGTTCCTTGTGCTCTGCGGTCACGCTTCTAGGTTGTTAAGACCAACATTAATCCACCTTTATTTACAGGTTCCTCAAGAAATACCCTTCCACGGTGTGTGCAGCCGGGAAGTGACACTAGCCCTCATACCTGTAACAACACGCGAGACCTAGTTGGTCACATTCAAATCCCTCCTACACCTCCTAATAAATCTCTTATCTCCACGACTAACCGTTCTCACGTTCCTTTATCACCTCGCACCGCTAGGGCAAACGATTCGAGTACGCGGAACGTTATTCCCGATCTCCTGGAACAACGCTCCAAACTACACGTAGGAGCTTTTAACGTCTAAACACTGTGCCAAATAGGACAACAGGCTTCCTTAGCCAGGACTCTAGAATCTCGAGCCATCGACGTGTGCTGCGTCTCCGAAACGCGCATACAGGATTCGAGTAGCGTCATTCGTTTGACCTCACCATGTAAAAATAAAGAACCAACTCGATTCAAACTTCGTGTACCTGGAAGCCCTGATTCTGCTTCTCATGGCCTCACCGGTGTAGGTATAGCATTGAGTCCTAGGGCAGAACTAGCTCTCTTAGAGTGGATCCCAGTAGACAGTCATTTGTGCGCTGTCCTACTAAACGGAACAGTAAGGACTCAGAGAGACAGAGACACTAGTCGTTGCCTCTTCGTCGACTCTGCCTATTCTCCCACTGACTGCAGCTCAGATGATGTAAAAGATGAGTTTTACAGAAAGCTCTCCGACCTCCGAAAAGCTAGGCGCTCGGATGTAGTAATAGTGGCTGGTGACTTTAGTGCTCAAGTAGGTAAACTAAGCGAAAGTGAAAGACACCTGGGTGGACCTTGTAGTGTCGTGGCCCAAAGAACAGATAATGGTAACAGTCTGTTACAGCTATGCTCAGATAACTGCCTGTTTCTAGCAAATACTAACTTTAAACATAAGGAAAAACATATTTTGACATGGCGACCCCCTAATTCGTACCAACGTTGGACCCAAATAGATCACATCGCTATCAGCCACCGATGGAGGGGTTCGATAGAAGACTATCGCCCATTCTGGAGCACATGCTTAGATTCAGATCATGCTCTAGTGCGAGCGCGTATTTGCTTGAGTCTTACTGGACGTAGGAAAGACACTGTAAGGAAACCTCTTAGGGTCCTACTTAATGATAGTCAAGCTAAGAGTATATTTCAGGAACAACTAGAAAAATAGTTAGGCAGCCATGTATGTGATGTCAAACCCGAGGCAGCATGGAATGATATCCGAAAAGCTGTGGAAACAGCAGTGATATCTGCTAGTACGGTAAATCACAAGGTTAGGGAGAAACACTGGATCTCAGCAGCATCTACTGCACTGATAGATGCTCGAAAACTCATTCAATCTGGTTCTGAACATAACGAAGAGCGGAGTCAGCTTAAGCGCAAGCTGATAAGAAGTCTACGCAATGATCGTGAACATTGGAGGGTAGCGAAAGCAAGAGATAGAAAAGGCAGCGGCAATAGGTAATAGCAGACAATTGTTCAGACTTGTTAAGGAAACCGGTATTAGGAAACCGACTGTTAGCGAAACAGTGTCAGAGAAAGATGGACATATTATACATTCTCAATCCAGGAGATTGGATCGACGGGCAGAACACTTAAGGGGTCAGTTCAACTGGCCTTCAGCCACACTTTGGTTTCCCATGATCTCCAGTCAACCTGAATGGCAAGTTAATTTAGGTCCTCCGAATCTTTACGAAGTTGAAAAAGCCATAGGAAATCTGAAGTGAGGGAGAGCAGCAGGCCCTGACAGGTTTACTCCTGAGATTTTTAAGGATGGTGGTCCAGTATTAGCAATGAGATTAACCGAGGTCTTAGGTAGAATTTGGGAACTGGACGTAATCCTATCTGATTGGTCTCAATCACTGATTGCGCCGGTCTATAAGAAAGGACAAAAGTCCTCTTGTGACAATCACAGAGGAATCAGTTTGACTAATATAGTGTCTAAAACATTAGCTTCAATAATACCTCGACGCCTAACTAAAGCTCGTGAAGAGCAGACTAGAGAAAACCAGGCTGGTTTTCGACCTGGACGTGGTTGTATAGACCACATATTCACACTACGTCAGGTTTTAGAACACAAACACACGTTCAGACGCCCCACAATCGTAGTATTTCTCGACCTTAAGGCGGTACTTGACTCTGTTGATCGTGAGATCCTATGGTGATGTTTGTCACTGAAACGAGTACCAAAGAAGTACATTAACCTTGTAAAGGCTCTCTACTCGAACACAACTGGTCGAGTGAGAGCTTATGGCGAACTGTCATCAGGATTGATTAACTCAAGTGGTGTTTGTCAGGGCTGTCCACTCTCTCCATTCTTGTTTAACTTTGTCGTTGATGTACTTTTAGAGATAACAATTTCCTCACCTAAATTTTCAGGGGTTGAACTTCTACCGAGGGATTCACTTTTTGACATAGAATATGTCGATGATATAATTCTATATGGTGAAGATACTGACAAAATGCAGTCTTCTGACCACTCTAAGCAACAATGCAAGCATGTTCGGCATGCGATTCTCCTCCTCGAAATGCAATATGTTGCTTTGACACCCGAACTAATGATAGGGAATGAAGGAACTTAGCGTGTCGACCGCTTCACTTATCTTGGAAGTCTCATCAGCCCTTGTGGTCTGGTGTGTGAAGAAATCTCAGCACAGATAAAGAAGGCTTGACTAGCTTTTGCCAACTTGCGTCATTTATGGCGTAGGCGAGATATCCGTCTATCAACCAAAGGACGTGTTTACTGCGCAGCAGTTCGTTCCGTCCTACTTTATGGCAGTGAAACATGGCCGGTAAGAGTAGATGATATTCGTAGGTTACTAGTATTTGATCATAGGTGTCTTCGAAATATTGCTCGTATATCCTGGGACCATCGAGTAAGTAATGCAGTTGTTAGGAAACGGGCACTAGATAAAGATGGCAAATCAATTGAAGTAGTGAAACTTTATCAGTTGACATTGGCTGGGACACGTATTACGTATGCTCAACCACCGACTGCCCCGACGTGCAATGTTCAATGGTGTAGGAGTAGGTTGAAAGAAAGCTAGGGGCGGCCAGACCAAAACATGGTACAAGTCCATGAAGTCACTGACAAGTGGACTGAGTCATGTTGGTAGGTGTAGACTACGTGGTTGGGGACCGCGAGATGATAGCAACCGATGGTTAGAGACCCTGAATGACATGGCTCAAAATCGTTTGCAATGGCGCAGGTGCATCCACTCTTTGTGTTCTCCAAAATTCTAATCTTCTGAATTCTTCATGTCCCTTTTTTCCTCTTACCAAATTTATTTCACTGTATTATACTCCTTGAATAACATCTTCAAACGATAATCTTTCCGATTACTGCTTATACTCTTACTATCTCTACCACTATGGAATTTGAATCGACAACTGCATCTCTGTGCTAATGTGGTATGGCAACTCGAACTGATGTACGTACGTACGTACGAAGTTCTACGTTGTTACTGGCTGACTGAAATAAGTTAAGATTCCTTAATTAATTTTGGCGGGTTAGATTTTTATTCCAGCAAAGTCATGAGAAGTTGTCATTATTAAGGGACTCAGTTTAAGACTAACCACCACCCTTAGAGCTGAATAGCTTACACACATTAACAACAATATTATCAATACGAAACACGCTAAAACTGGCCTTATTTCAAAAAATAGTGAGGCGAAAATATAAAACTTACAACTTTGATATTTTGTTTCCTATTCGCTTCGATCAACCGTTTACGCTGGGCTGCAATTCGTTGACGCTCCAAACGTACTATTTCCGACTCATCCACTGTCAAATCTATAAGATTTTCATACATAGATACATTTTCAGGTATATTAACAGTGATTCTTGGATTGAGAATTAAAGGATTGGTAGAGTTATCTCCAGCGGGAAGAGTATTGCAAGCTTCATTTACAATACGTTCCGCTTCTAAGCGTATTTCGTCAGCGGGATGCTTAATGGTAGAGAAAAATACACTGTACTGTTTTTTATTCAAAGGTTAGCATCACGATGAAGTTTAGTAGGCAAAATTAAATTTTTGAACCTACAAACTATTACGCTAGTGTATTATTAGTGAATTAATATTAAAACAGTTTCATAATTCCTAATATGTTTTGATGTCTCCGGAAGGAAGGAGGACAAATTTTTGCCCAAACATGATGTCCTCTACTCAGTAACGTTTTGTAAAGATGATAGTGAAAAAGTGGACGTATGACAACAAATACTGTTTTATCACTCATTTGGTGTGGATTTTAGAAATGATGTATATGATTGGTTAAGTGTCAAGTTTTTTCGATATTCATGCAACATTTAAGGAACACTTTCAGTGTGCAAAGGTAACGAGTGGGAAGAACTATAAATACTCAGGTTTGTAGGAGGATTTCATGAGGCAGAGAAGATTATGTACACCAAGCCGTACTACAGCATATAAGATGGGTTAGATCTAGTGGGCAAATTGTATAAATAATACTGAGATCTTGAAACACCTGTTCAGGTACATTGGACATGACAATTCTGTAGGTGATAACATCTCATAATACCAGCTTTCGTTGATTGGTCATACTTTACATATGTTATTCCATATTGTGTATTACTTGTCAACTTTTAGAATGAGTAGAAAAGTAGAGATGTTTAGATTACGACATGGTAAGCTGGAATGGAACAGTTCCTTTAATAAGCTACCCACTAAGAATTTTTGGGTCGGATCCTAAAAACTATAGATTTCAGTGGGAATTATGCTATGATTTTCTATAGTATATCTTCATAAACGGTAAAATGCATATGCTAAAGGAAATCTATCTTGATTATCTTTAAGCTCTGATTGCACTTTTTTAACATATATTATTATTTCGATTCACTTATTTTTTTTAGCATGATTTATCACATTTTTATCTCTTCACAACACATTTCGTTTTGTATAGAACACATGTTTGGTACCTTATTATACCGAGCTTTCTTTCTGGGCAATAATAATGATAATAAATAAATAAATAAGCCGATAGTCAACGAGAAATTATCTTCAAAAAAGAAAGTGAACAGTAACCAAAAATTAAGCTTTTAATATAGGAAAATAAAGAGGCTACATGATTAGAAAACTCAACCAGATTGCCATAAAATGTAGATTAGTGTCAAGTCTCAGTTCGACTACTATTTGTGGTATCCTCAATAGCATACTTACTATGTGTTACTTTGAACCTTAAACCATGGTAAAGGGACGAGATAAGACAGTTACAACTGGTCTAATTTTGTCCAATAACCTCCCATTTCATCCTAACATTGTTCAGTTGACAATCTCACTGTTGGTTAGCGATGCTTCAAAAGTAGGGAATCATAAAGGACCGATCATAATCGCTTGAAACTTTATTCCGGTTGGAATTTTTTACTAGTGAATATTAGAATAAGGCATGTAGTATTCATAGAATATTGATGGACAAGGAAATATTTCATTGGGTTTGTAATTCCCGTAATTAGGCAAACACCAACGGATATTTGCACTAAAACTTAGTCACTGTTTTAGTTTTGAATCTGCCACATACAAAGCATATGAAGTATTTGACAGTTTTCACACAATGTTTAGAAGAATACATTAAACTTGTCTTAATACTTAGCATGAGATTTCTGAACACTGTGTCAATCAAAGAATACCTGGAATGAAAAAAACCAATCATTGAGATATAAGTTACAGATGGATAATTCCTTTAGAGTTATTCAAGCCTGATTAATATTAGTCATACTAATATGGAAGAGCTATTCTAAAGGTACATATGAATCAGAAATAGGCAGAATGAATCATTTTGTTACCATTTTAACGGTATAAATTAAGTAACATTCTAATCGACCGAAACTATTATACTTATCTAATTTCATAAGATCAGCAGGCTACTTTATACAGTTACATTACAATTAACTAGAGCATAAAACAATGAACTTACCTCTTTGGAAACACTGTTGACTTTCTTAGACAGGGATTTAATCTCCCGTTCTAAGGCTTTTGTTGTATTGAAGACTGGTTGTGAAAAATTTAGAGTCGCCTCGCCTGGATCGCAAAAAGAAGTTGTATCTGGATCCAGACAACTTAAATCTGTCAAACTTGACAAAGACAGACTTTCGGAATGCGTAAAAGGATAGCTGGGTAGTTCTCTGGGATCCTGGTCACTTGAACTTTTCGCATCTGAAGGACAGTTTTTGGAACTATATACACGACCACAGGATGATAACGGCTGTTGAGGGAGGTGATCTGTAGTTTTGAGGAATGAAACACTTTGACAGCTGCCTTTAAGGTGACATTCAGTATTCACAGAAAGATCACACATTTTATTGACATTATTTTCCATCGCCTCAGATACATCATAAAATGTTTGTTTAGAATCAAAATGGCTTTGTGTTGGCGCATTATCTGGTGGGTAACGATTTTGCAATATGGAAATGGAGTCCAAATTACCAAAAGATGATGTTACATTGGTTAATTCATCGAGACCAGATTCAGTAAAATCCCAGGACACTTTGTCAGCTAGATGATCAGAGGAATTTGTGATTACATTCGAGCGGAACCTAACCTACATGAATTGTTTCTCAAAGTTTTTCCATCTTTTTACCTGTTTAGATGGACTAAGTAGTTTATCTGACAAATCATTCCTCAGTGCACGACCTGCAAACCTTGGGTATGCATCAACATCTGACATTATTGTAACTGACTGCAACGAGACATTATTGTGTACCGATTATACGGTGAACATTAAAATTTGTTCGTTCTAAAAATATTTAAAAAATATAACTTGCCAAAAGAACAGTGGGAAAAATCAAGATCGAAATCGTATGAATTATGATGTGTTTTTACTTCAAGGGTATGACTAATTCTAATTGACATCCTAAAATGGATGAATTGAGAACATTCGTGTTTACAATCTAACTGGTCGAATAAAACTAACACAAAAGCTCGAAAGCTATCTCAAGTTTATTTTTATAGATTGGAAAAGGTCAAGTAGTCAGGGAGCTTCGAATACAATCTTAAAAGAGATGTGTTGGTGGAAATATAAAACATATGAGTTATTAAGATTCATCTCAAGTTCCAAAATGACCCACATACGTCAGAATTGAAAACAATCAAGTTTGTAAAGTTAGAGGTCAGCCGGTCATGTACAACATAAGACCAGGTACACATGTGAATAGATCCAAGTTATCGTACCCCAGCACAACAAGATGAAAACTAATTCCACTGAAGCAGTTACTTTAATGGTAGTAATATAACGAAAAAAGGTTGCACATACGTAGATGATACATGGAATAAGAAATTTCCTCGTAGAAGGAAACCCAAACCACTTTCAGTCTCACGGTTTAAGGGAATACAGTGTTTACACCTACACCATTGTGGTTGATTCTGAGCCATGACACCCAGAGTCTCCAACCATTGCTTCCGATAGTCTTGCGGACCCCAACCAAGTAGTCTGCACGTACCAACATGGCTAAGACTAGAAGTTAGTGACTTCAAGCACCGATGCCACGTTTTGGTTTGGTCGCCCCTAACTTTCTTCTAACCATCTCCAGCACTAGTCAGCATTGCGCAACGTGCTAGTCGGTGGTTGGGCATACGCAACACATGGCCCAACCATATCAGTCAATGAAGATTTACAACCTCATCAACTGATCTACCATCATTCCCTGATACCCTGCGTCTAACCTCACCATTACTTACTAGGTGATCCAAGTAGATGCAAGCGATATTTCTAAGACATCTCTAATTAAATACTAGTAACTTACGAGTATCTCTTATTCTTAATGGCCACCTTTCGCATCTGTAAAGTAAAACAGAATGAACTGCTGCACAATATACTCGTCTCTTAATTGATAGACGGATATCTCGCCTTCGCCATAGGTAACTTAAGTTGGCAAAAGCCAAACGGGCTTTCTAGATCCGTACAGAGATTTCGTCAGACAACAATCCATAAGGGTTGACCAGACTTCCAAGATAAGTGAAGCTATAGACGCGTTCAACTACTTCACTCCCTATCTTTAGTTCAGGTGCTTACGCAGGCCAGTCCTGAAGTAACAACTTTTAGTTAGAGTGGGAGAAAAGCATCCCAAGCATCTGGGCATTGTTACTCAGTGCTACCAAAAGACTGCATTATATCAGCGTCTTCATTATACAGGATTATGTTATCTGTGTATCCTAAGTCAATAAGTGGACCTCCTGGTAGCAGATCAATTCACGAAAATTCAGATCACAACGTTATTTTTAGTGATGAAGTTAAACGAAAATGGAACTAGTGTACAGACTTGACGGACACTATTTGAGGTTGCAAAATCAGATGACATTTCGCCATAAGCTCTGACTCGACTGGTGGTGTTCGAGCAAACAGCCTTCTCAAAATTTCTGTACTTCTGAGGTACATCTTTCAATGACAGACACTTGCACAGAACCTCTCGGTCTACGGAGTCAAATGCTGCTATCAAGTCAACAAAAACTATCATTGTCGGAAACCGATAAGCATGCCTGTGTTTTAAGACTCGACAACTGGTAAACATGTGGTCGATGTAGCCACGATCGGGTTCAAGTTGATCTGGTTTTCTCGTGTTTGCAATTCACGAGTATTTGTTAGACGTCCGACAATTATTGAGGTTAATATTTTAGACGTTGTATTGGACAAACTAATCCCTCTATGGTCATAACAAGATTATTTAGATCCTTTCTTATGAATTGGGACAATCAATGATTACGACCAGTCGGATGGGATTACGTTCATTTCCCAGATTTTAGATAAAATATTGGTTAACCTAATCGCTAAAACTGGACCACTATCCTTAAAGACTTCTGGAGTTAATTCAACTGGACCACCTGCTCATCCTCGTTTCAGATTAGCTATACCCGACCGTTGTTGGTACCTTAACGTGGTGGTCGGGCTTGCCTACGGAGCTAACACGAAAATTACCCACATAAAGGTTGTGTGTGAATGACCTCAAGCAGTTGTCCCTTGGGCAGTGCGGTCACGCCCCCAGGTCTCTGAGACCACCGTTATTCTATTTTTTTCAGGTACCTTCAGAAGAACCCCTCCACGATGTGGGCAACAGGGAAGTGATAACCGCCCTCTGAATTCCAACAACACTCAAGACTAGCTATAGCTTTTTGAACTTCAATTAGAGTCAAGGTTCTATTTCCATTCAGGTAGTTTGGAAATGGTTGATGTTAGAGAAACTACAAACTACTCTGCTCTATAACATTTGGAAACGTTTTTGGAGTTACAAGACGGTTTTGAAGAGTCAGCAGTTTCTGAAATAACAGCTTGTAATACCTAATGTACATAAGTGCAAATTGTTATTGATATTCATGGAATAATCACTATCATTGCAGACTTTAAATCTATTAAAGTGATATGGTAGCATATACTATTTCTTCAATTCAAAAGCCTGGGTAACATGTCATTCCAGACCTTATGTGCTTCAGTTTCATTCAGTGATACTAAACTTCACTCTTCACATTCTATTTTCCACTGAAATGGACACTATTTACGATCTTCTTTTTCTCATCTTTTTATTCGCGTTGTGGCTTGGAGGTTGAAACAGTAGCGTCAAATCATATGTCATCAATGTCTGTCTATACTAAAAAAACAAGTATAGAAGCGGAACCTTTTTTGTCCCGATAGAATGGACAGTGCTTGGTTTACTGAAATAAAAGTGCGCTCTGAAATTTTAGCAAAATTCCTGTTAGGTTTGAGCAAATGCACAAAGTAGTGATAGACTGAAACTGAGAAATCGATGAACAGGAATCAGTAGATAAACTATTTACTGCAACTGAACAGTAACTCAATAGCTACGATCGTTCTCCCTATTTCTAGACGTAATTCCACAACATAACCCAATGGATAATTGTTAAATAGGCCATTACAGAGAAGAGAAAGGATAGTAAGGAGTTATAAAAGGAGATTGTACTAGTAACTATGATATGGTCTTGTGAATACATGTATGATAAAACAGAAATTGAAGTCTATGAAATACACTTTTACAGTAATCCACGGAAGAATGACCATATAAGGTACGTACAGAAACTTTTCCGAGAACGGTAGTTGTGACTAGCTCCACAGTTTTTCCTGAGAATGACACCTTCCAAAATGTGGAGATAACCTGAAACACATACATAGTGTGGATTCTAGTTAACTGGAGTCGATTTCGCTCTGAAATGTGTTTGAGGAAATCTAAATATCGACATTTCATCATATTTGAGGTATGGTAACTTGAACCGATGCCCACATGTGGCTTGTCCTACGTTGTACCCGACTGACTGACCTTGACTTGTCTGTCAACCAATCATAAAACGATACCTAGTTACAGAAGATTAACAGCAAAAACTACTAAAAGCGCAATAATGGGTTTGATCCTGATAATCGGCCCTTAAATGTCGATTTTCCGAAGTAAAAGAACAAAAGTTGAATTTGATAAATAAGCAATCGAGCTAGTGATGTGAAATGGCATAAACACACCATAGTTTTCGACGTCTACTAATGCCTGTGATTGAGCAGAAGGGTTGCATTCATGAACTGGTGGTTAAGCCGGTGTCCTGAGACGATTTTACAAGTTAGTATTAAGGTTTTCTTCACGAACTAGCACCAGCGAAAATGCAATACTTTTATTACTCCTCCGTTTACAAATTTACGAAACTTGAGACTGGAACTAAAAGTAAGGACCCCAGCTCCCAATTTTGGGGAAAATTTGACCCATTTTGAGGAAGCCGCTGTAGTAAACTTTGGGGTTTTTGTGTCATTTCCCCAAACTTGGGAGCTCGGGGATTAGAGTGAGAGGATATTATCTAGTCTCACGACGAACTCATGACCACGTAACAAATCACATCAAGTATTTAACCACATATTCTGGCTAAGGATAAGACATGTTTTATGAATTAACTCAAGCACCATTCTAAATTCACTTATAAGTGAATTTATGCACCAGTATATATACTGGTGCATAACAAGTATTCTCAATAATACCAAGCATTCAAAAGAAATTTTGCCGACATTTACTCCGTCTGTAGTAGCACAAATTATCGTAATCCCTGATGGGTAACTCAAGACCGTCAGTATATTGTAATTTCCCCACTAATAGCTTTTATTACGCAAATCTAGTTGCCTTGATAACTATGTAGCTACAGTTGGCTGTCAAAAAAATGCTCTATATCCCTGAGTCTGGTACATTGTTCGTTTGAAAAAGTAATAGATTTACTTTAATCTTGAATGCCATACTTACTATGTTGAAGCACTAAAACCCAACCCCCATGACCTTGATGCCGCGTCTAAATGCAAACTCCCGCAATCTGTTTTAGTTAACACAATCAGCCTTATCCTGATTACAAACGTGTGAATTTTATAAAGCCATTTGAATATGTTGAAAGAATTGCTGATTAATTCAGATAAGGAGCTATGAGGTTATGAAATACATTGTATTGAAGGCATATCTAATTTTAATACTTGTCTCTGTGTCTGTAAATTCTATGGATTAGTTTAGTCGTACGACAGTTCCTCAAAACATATCAAACCTTTTAGATGCTGAAGTCACTTTATATTTCTTTCAAACGATCCCACATGCATCCCTACTTATACCTGCGGTGGTAGATACTTCCCTAAAATATAGTTTCGAATCATTCGACACTGGTATCGACTCCATTAAATCTAATAGGCCTGAAGTTCATCAACGCAGTTGGTCTGTCGAGGATTGACAGAATGACGTGACCTAGCTTAAGTCGAAGTCAAACCTTACGGGTAATATCTAATGTGTATTACCCTTTCGTAATGTTCAGGTAGTCTGCCTACTTTAATGAACATTCAACTAAACAGAATTATTACAGAAACATATCAGTAAGAGTAGATATAACAAATATAGTGCGACAACAGTTGCATGGGCTAGCTTATGTGGTGAAATTAATTGCTGGACTTTGGCCATGATGAGGACTGGCAAACTGTTCGATATTCAGTAACATGAATGACGGATGAATCGGCTAGATACGATAAACCTACAGGAATATTGTGTACTGAAAGTGCTCAATCATGCGCCCGCACTAGATCACGTTTCGTCACGACGTTCTGGGCATATCTCTCAATAACTAGTAAGTATAGGTCATATACACTCTGACTCATAGACCATTGTTCAAACATGTCACCCCATTCCCTCATTCTGGAAGTTCACTTTAATTGGCTTTGCTATACTTGTATGATAAAAATGTTTGAAAAGTAGCGTTAATAAGCATTCTACATCTGTGATATTCTAAATCAGGTTGATTGGTTAAAAATTGACCGAATGCATCTTCGCAGTGTCAGGATACCATAGATCAAATATTCGTCTATTCACTTATTTTGTGACTAGTGTATTTCCTATTATGTTTTCACAGAGTGCTGATAAGTTTGTGGGTTTGAAAGAAGATAACCTCACACTCCAACTGTTCTTTCCCACAGTCTGAATAAAGACCCAATCGACCACTAGTCTGGCTTCTTCTACAGATAAAACGAAGGTTATCTGCCGGAACGAAAATATCTCCATATCTGCCAATTTATTAGGTGACTGGTTTTGGTGCTTTTCACAAGTATATCGGACGAAATCATCAGGGTGAGTATTATCCATGTTTGTTTATCTTTTTGACTTGTACGCTCGATGACTGTTATTCTGGCTGCTGTTAAACGAACTCGATTTCGTAAATGTGGCCTTCAGCTTAGCTTAATCGATGAAAACATATACCATGTGCATCTGCTGTATACCGCCATTTTACTCCAATTCTAGTTGTTATATCTTAGTTCTGAAAAATAAAATTGCTATATGCAGCAAATACAGGCTTATTTGTTTTGGTGTAGATAGGGGGGTTCATGGGATTTTTAGCAGTACTGTAGTAATATTCTCACTAAAGAGCTAAACAAGTGCGTAGACCAATGTAAGGTACCATACAGGGTGCCCTTGAGTTACTAGTGTTCCATTAGTGCGGGAAGGGGCATTGCTTTCTTATCATATGGCATTTGAACAAGTAGATATAAGATTAGACGCAGGTACGGTTAGGCTGTGTAAGGCGTATCCATCCATCAGCTGCCGTGACAACTCATAGTGCTTAGAATAAGTTATGAGAAGACTCGAGTCTGTAGGTTTCCCAAGAAAATGACGAAGATATGTACTAAATCATTTAAATTTACTACATATGAACTAGAGGTCCGTATATCACAAGTTTCTTGCAACGATTAAGTAGATAAAACAAAGTAGCATTAGATTTAAAAATTTATCCAGGATTTTTCACTAAGAATCGAATATCAAAAAAAATTTAAACGAAGTTCCCGTTTAAAAGTTGCACTGGTAGTGTAAGGCTGCAGTTTTTGTTGTTTTTTTCCAAACGAAAGGGTAAAAGAAGTAACTCGGAAAGTACTGGAAGTGGTTGTGAGACTAAAATGGACGCCCAGCATCCTTTTTATAATCTGCTGTTAGTTTGGTCTCTCGTAAACAGTTTTATAGGACCATAGTTCTGTAGTGACTCATGTTTATCACGAGAACACGACTGGTTTAATAAAAACAATTGTTATTATAACCAACTGTACCAGTGTTTGTTTTAATGTGCTTTTGTTTAACTGTGCTAATTGTAGCCATTTTGTTCTTCCATTCTCTTACTTACACTTTGATTGTAACTTCGCGCGAATTCGGTTACGTTCTGTAACCAAGCTTGTATCCTGGCACGATCTCGGTATCCTTTCGATGCCACGAGATCGCCAGCAAATAAACGTCGACTTGGTCCAGTAATTGCCTTCTGGTATTTGGCTTCTCGGGGATTTTATGGAGTCATTTGGAACGAGCTTCTTACGCCTTCTGATCTACTTGGCACGTGTTTCTTGGTAGCGGTGTTCATAGTTAATCTCAACTCAACACCACGCTACAATTGGTAATCCCAATTCGAATACAATTGGTGACCCGTATTTTGGAACACGCCTCAACTTCTGATCAAATCTTCCAAAGAAGCCAATTCGGTGAGTCTATGATTTATCTATCCACGTCCGTCGTATATTTTCATATTTTTTAATATATAATATACGCGACATGACGGATAACGATAAGAATAGTATTAATATAATAGACTCACAGGTATGTGTACCGAACCCTTGTCACTTTTTATTCGCGTGATGATGAATTCCACGCTTTATTCGAGAAATGTTACCCTATTAACGATTCTCCTCGCTGACCCGGCTGCTTGGTACGGAATGCATACGCATAAGCATATCCGTCTACCACCCAGCACCAAATGGTTCAGTTGAACGGTTCCAACTTAAAAGTGTTCTACGAGCACACGAAAACGGCAACTGGCACGAAACCTTACCGCTTGTTCTTTTAGGGGTGAGAACGAGCTTAAAGGCAGATATCCAATGTTCCGCCACTGAACTTTGCGGAGAATTCTTCACACCACGGAGCAGACCTAATTTCGGTAAATCAGACTACGTCCATCGATTGTCTGCATTTATGCGAACGCTGTCTCCGGTGTCAACTCGAATACAACATCGACAGGTCGCTCTCCCTCGAGAGTTATCTACCTGTTCACATGTTTTGTACGAGTAGATTCGGTACGCAAACCTTGGCAATAACCTTGCGAAGGCCCTTTTCACGTGATCACTCGTCACGAAAAGACCTTCAAGGTTGATTGACATGGACGCGTCGAGATCGTCAGCATTGATCATCTCAAACCAGCACACGTCGATGACAGTGCCCTATCTGACACCCTGAGATTCAATGCTAGACCTACCAAACCTAGCGGGATCTTAAATCTTCTTCAGGTCCCACGCTAGATTCATCTGAGACCTCATTCTCACGTCCCGGTCAACAGCACGCGTCATCTGCGCCGTCTACGGACGAGACGACAGTCTCACATCCAGATCAGCAGACCACGCCGCCTCTGACTTCGGATGAAATTGCAGGCTCACGAAATACGAACGAGACTGCCGTCTCACGTTCCAGTCGCCGAGTACGGTTACCCGTACGCTTCCGCGACTAGCCGCACAGTCAACAACCGATACGGTGTAGGGTTATTCCTATACTACACGCATGCTACACTCCTCTTTTTTTGATTTTCTTTTTGTTTCCTGAGCCCACGCCTTCGACCATCTCCGTTTGGTTCCGTCGACTTCAGTCAACTTTGGCGAAAGCTGGCCTGATCACCCATGCTCTTGTCAACGCACTCAGTCGATATATTGGTTTCGAACGCTTGGCACACGCTTGGTCTCGAACTTGGTCGTTACGGTCGCTTCTGGTCTTTTGGCTCAACGTGGTTTCGTCCTTCGTCTGCAGCGTTTCTGTTCCGCATTCCCTACGAACGCCCTCTTCAGATTCTGGATACAAACCACTCTGGTGTAGCATGCCAACTCAAGCAACACATACAGCACATCGCTCCTGGTACCGTTCTCCGAAAACGACCTTCGTTGGCAACTCGACGATCAACGATCGCTTTCCTGTTCGCCAATCTTTCCGTCCTACAATCGCTCGTCAGCCGATCAGTCCCACGATTCAAACCGCTATTTATCAAAAGTGTAAACCCTTTCTAGCGGGGGCTCCTGTAGTGATTCACGTTTATCACGAGAACACGACTGGTTTAATAAAAACAATTATTATTATAACCAACTGTACCAGTGTTTGTTTTAATGTGCTTTTGTTTAACTGTGCTAATTATAGCCATTTTGTCCTTCCATTACCTTCCATTATTGTTCCGCGGTTTTTGGTACTGTTCACACGTACTCCTGTCTTCTGCTTCCACTTGTACCATTCCTTGGCACGATCTCGGTATTCGTTCAATACCACGAGATCGCCAACGAAATAAATCTGGTTACGTTCGATCCTCGCCTTCTGATTTGTCTGGCACGTGTTTCTTTGTAGCGGTGTTCATAGTTAATCTCAACTCGACGCCACGCTACAGTTCTAAGGGCGAAACAGTTCTTAGGATCTGTGAAGGCTCACTCCTGTTGCATTCTAAATGAGAAAATAGTAATGAATTTAGTCAGAAATGTGGAATAGATAAATAACCAAATTACGTTTTTTTAGCAAAGAATTTATACAGTTGTGATTTACCTTGAGTTCATGAATATTAGATCAGGTCAGCTACTATTACTTGTGCAAAACATAACATGGACTTATGACCGTATTGCTATGCTTTTACTATTTCGCTCTCATTTAAGTATTCCCATGCATCTGCGTCTAGTTTAACAGGAAGACATACAAGCAGAGTCAGTATCTGATAAACTAAAAGTCCCAGTTGTCAAAAAGATTCTAAACATTTGTCTACAGCCAGCTGCATTTAATTCAGACACAGA